GTGGTGGCAGAGCATGACCAAACCGTGGGATGGCTCTAGTCACCCCCATGCAGGCTCAAACCTCCAGAACTTGGGCTCCTACAGAATCTTCAGTGGGAACCATTCCAAGTGGGAACACACCCCAGGATATATCCTATCAGCTGCAAACAAAAGGGGAAATTGGTGCAAGGGTGGTGAAAGGCACGTGACATTTCCTGGGGGCTCTGGGAGGGTGAGGGCTCCGACCATATTTTATGCAGCATCTTGGAATAGCAGCAGGGAGCCCAGACATCAACTGGCTTAGGGCTTGGGCACTGGAGTTGGAATTTGCAGGTTTAAATCCCAGCTCCGTGGCTGACTAGCTATGGCCCCTGGGCAAGTCATTTCTTCTCTCTGCACCTCAGTTTCCTTACCTGTAAAAGGCGGAAACTAATCTCCTAGAAAGTAGCTGTGAGGACTAAATGGGATAATGCCCACAGAAGTGCTGAGTAAATGCCAGCACTTTCCTGATGCAGTGCCCTTTAAGCCTCACCAGGACCTTCTGCAGCGGGCACATTTCCAGATGAGGGAGCAGATGCTTCCAGGAGAAGTTCAATCCCTGTCCTCCCAGTTGCTACTTGGATATGTGGTGACACCGTATCTGTGCCACCCTGAGCTTGGTCTGCTTCTCCAGATTATCCACCCAGCTCCTTGGCCCCTCCCTGTGTAGCCACCTCCGGTGCAGGCTCCATTTGCCCATCTAATGATCTGTGCCACAGACCAGGGACTGGTCAGATCCTCCACCTCAACCAGCGCCACCCTGAGACAATGTGGAATTGCCCCAGGCTGCTCATCCTACCCCACACCAGGCAGGGAGCGCCACAGAGTCCCGTGTGGGCCCAGAGCTGTGTCTGGGGCTGGCAGGAAAGCCATTTCTAGATCCACCTGCCAGTCTCACAATTTGTTGCTGTAAAGTAGGGGTGGGGAACATCGAGCCTGCAGACTGTATAAGGCACAAGAAATCATTTGGTCTGGCCCTGCCAAGGCATTAGGGGTGAGTTAATTAAATGCTTGACCAAATATAGCAGGCTAATTTTTAAGTTACTAATTTTGTATGGCCCGGGAATGACATTATAGATATCCAAATGGCCCTTGGCAGAAGAAAGTTCCCCACTCCTTCTGTAAAGACTCCCAGGCGGTGAGTGAAGCAGGCTGGGAACTGTGTCCAGCCCGCTCTGAAGGCAGGTGTCTCTGCCGGGTGGGAAGGGAGCTGACAGGTTGATGGGAGCCACACCACTGCTCTGTGGATGGCGGGCTGCAGCCTGTGGGTGAAACCTGGCAGGGCATCTCTGTCCTGGGGGCTGGGATCAACAAAGGTCACCCAAGTGGAATGGGACCCGCTGGGCAGGTCGAAGTTGGGGGTGGGGTTCTGGCTGAGGCCACACAGTTTCCTGGAGGGACAGCAGGCAATGAAGGCCCAGGGCTTTTGTGAGCTTGTGGCATTTCTCACTCACAGAATTCTGAGAGAAGGGAAGACTATTTGTGCTAAGAAGCTAGGACCGCCTCACACCCTGCAATAGCTGTTTTCACGAGAACAGGGAGTGGTAATGGAGTCTCCCCAAGGCTGCAGCCACCGGCTGAGACAGGAAGGCTCTGCTTCCACAAAGGCTGGTCTGGAGCTGCTGGCCCAGAGGGCTCCTTCTGTGGAGACGCCAAAGCCCCCTCGGAGAAGTGTCTCTTCACGAATGCAAAGCAGGAGTTGGAATTTGCAGGAAGGAGCTCTTCTGCTTCACAGACTAATCATGGAGATGATTCAGAGGCCTTGCCTTCCCCTGGGCTCTGACCAGCACGCTGGGGTCCTGAGGGGCACAGCATGGCGGCATCCCTGGAGGTGACACAGGCGGGCCTCTCACAGCTGACAAAGCCCCCGGCATTGACCCTGTCTCACTGAGCTTTTGCTCAAAAGTTCCCAGCAAGGGGAAGCTTGTTACATACATTCAGGTGTAACTGAAATCCTTACTCCTCACCTAGACCCTAAATCCATATGTCTCTTCCTTGGTGGGCCCAGCTTTGCCTTTTGGAGGACCTCACACTCAACACCCTTTGGAAATCTGAGAACACTAACAGGTTCCTTGCCCAGGTGTCCTCATCCAGGCTACACATGCAGAATCAGAGAATACAAGGCATAGAAAGAGATGGTGATGATTTTGTCCAGGCAACTTTATCCTCACAGATGTTCCCCAGCTAAGGATCCTGTACCCCAGGTTGCCACGATCCATCACAGAGCCCCCGAGAGCCCAGAAAAGCTGTGAGGAGCATTTTGAATAGGTTTGTAATAAGGGAGACAGGGCCTAGCCAAGCACTGCCTTGCTCCCTGACTACACCAATGACTTGCGCGCGCTCTCTCTCTCTCTCTGTCTCTCTCTCTCTCACTCACACACACACACACACACACACACACACACACACACACACGCGCGCGCGCGCCTGCTCACCCAGGCGGCAACATTATCCTTCACTCCTGAGCAGCCACACCTCTGGGTTTACAAATGGGACCATGGCAGCACTTAGTAATCGAGACAGTCGAACTGCTACAACTCATCCTCATTACCTGACAGGTGGCCCATCTACTCGCACTCCGTCTCCACTCTGGGCTGAAAACAGGAGCTGCTCCTCACTTACCAACGCTGCACCAGACAGGCTCTGTGCACGGACACGGGGAGGGACCCAGCCATGACTGAAGGCCCCGCTCACAGTCCCTCCAGCCTGAGCGAACAGCTTCCTCCTGTGCCCCAGGAATCAGACCTGAGCCAAAAGCTTCTTGGGAAAAGCACTATCGGACACGCTCCAGAGCAGTTCACACAGAGATAAGCGACTCCAAGAGTCGCAGACAGGGGCGTGATCTCAGCCTGTCTCCCATCGCCCTATAGCACTTGTGATACAACTCAGTGACACAAACCAAGTCCAGATGGAAGTTGGGTTTATAAGTTTCTGTGGTTCAGAAACTTCTTCAGAAGCCTTGTGATCCTTTGTGAAAAACTAAATGCACAGACGTTCTAAAACCACTGCTGGTGGCAGTGGGCCCGTGCTGGCCTGAGAGCCTTCAGAAGAGATGATGTCCGAGAGGGCAAGTGCTTTTCACTTGAACGTGCACAGGAATCCCCTAGCGGTCTTGTTAGAACAGGTTCTGACTCTGCAGGTCTGGGATGGGACCCAAGACCCTACATTTCTCACTAGCCGCTGGTCCAGGAGCCACATTTGGAGCAGTGAGGCGCCAGACTAGACTAGAGCATCAAAGACAGCACAGATCCGAGTGAGCTGCATGTGCTCAGTCAGGAGAGGGGACGGGCGAGACCCCACACCTGTCTGCAATGCTAGCTCATGCCACCGGCCCTTGGTATCTGGGAGAGTTGTCACATGAGCTCCTTTCCTTTAGCTCTTTAATTAAACTGGTGTTTGCAAAGAGCAAGTTCTCGGACAGCACTGGCTCCTTCTAGCTCCTCTCAGATCCAGGAGGAACCTCGCCCCTCATCAGCTATGCTAGGGCACAGGGACAGTCCTCGGATTCCCTTGTGCCGGGGGAAGAAAGGAGACCTGAGATGACCAAGGACCTTCAGCCACACGACTACCTCACCACTGGCTCAGCCAAGTGCTCACAGCCTGGCGGGCGAGACCAGCACTTACGAACAAACTCTACATAGTGAGAGGAATGTCCACCAGGGATGAGTGCAGGAAGCTTGCCAGGCCCGAGAGGCAGAAAGGAAGCCCATGGCATGAGTGGCTGCACCAGGGAAGGCTCACAGAGATGGTGACGTTTGAGCTGGGCCCCAAAGAATGCCCGGGATTTTTCCAGGTAAGAAAGGCATATGTAGGCAGAAGGGATAGGATGTGCACAGTGGTATGTCCAGGGAACTGTGAACAGTATGTGCTGGAATAGCCAGAACATCATTAAGGGCATTGGAATGGGAGCCTCACTGTTGGGGCCCAAAAAGGGAGGAAGGGTCTAGTTGTGCATGAAAAAAGGAAAATCCAAGCAACAGAGATTTAAAAAGAAAAACTCTCTCTTTATGACCTTCAATGTGGTAAGAATTAGTCATTCAATTCAATGTCTCTTTTTCACATGCCTAAATTTTTAAATGCATAAGATTTTTTTTTTTTTTTTTTTTTTTTTTTGCGTCTTTTAACATCGGACCGGAGCATTTCACTCGGTTGTCATAAACTCTTTGTCAAGAGCACTTTTTAGCAGCTGCACAATATTCCATTTGATCAGCCCCTAGCTGCTGGACATTGAGGTTGTTCCCCATCTTTCAGGCCCATGAGCAATACCTTTTCTGAAATTTAGATCATAACCTAGGCATGGATCCCAAGGACTGGAATTAGAATCGAAGGGTATGAACAAGCTCAAGACCTTGAGGCATGTGGCAGACTGTTTTCCAAAAGGCTGAAACCAGTCTCAGAGTGGGGCGGAAGGGAGGCACCTGAGTCAGTCCAGGGGCTCTTGACCAGGGGGCGGGCCAGCCCTAAGGCCAGGATGTGCCCAAGGCCTTGCTCTGTGAACTGGTCCATGTTAAAGCCGGGACTGGAAATGCAGCAGCCCTGGCGGCATACAGGCCTAGCAAGCTGTACAACTAGGTGTGGCACTGGGTTCCCTCAGGCCAAACAGGAGACACAACGCAGATTGGTTTTGTTATAGTTTCTAAGAAAGTTCTTTCTGAAGTCTGAGATCTTGGCTTCAGTGGGTTAGAGCATTACGGACAGGACTGAGACAGGGTCAGACAATGAGATTAGCTGGGGCTTCCATGAAGACTGGGGAGACTGGAACTGAGACCCAGGATTTCCTCTTGGCCTGGCCTCCCTCCCCTCCAGGACTCTCATTTTTGAGGGGCTCGGCTGAACTAGAAGCAAGGACAGCTCAACTGGATGACCCAATGCAGCCCTTGGCTTATCTGAGCAGGCAGGGACAGCGCACTGACTCCCTTTACCAAAGGCAAGTGTCCAGCGTGGGTCAGTGCCGCCTCTGAGCAGGGCCACTGGCTCCTTACCTGCCAGAGCTGGGATGGTGACCCGGTTCCACTCCCATGGCTGGTCGTACTCATCAGCGGGCCTGTCGTCATCCTGGGGCAGCTTGCTCTCCCGCAGTCGGGGGCTGACTGCACTCTCTGAGTCCGAGTCGATGCTTTGGCCCTCGGGTTCATAAGGGGTGTCATACAACTGGATGCCTTTGTGCTGGGACCGGACACTTTCCTGCCTCTGAAATTCTGCAGGCAAAAAAAGAAAGCAGAAGTGTCATGGAATTGAAACACACACTTCCTCACCTGGGATCTGCCAGGTGACACCCACAGGGGTTCAGAGCCACCAGCCAAGGAGGTGATGACCGCAGGAACAGCCCCTTTTCTGCATTCAATTGCTCCTCCCACCTCTTGAAGGCAGCATCTCTGCTTTCCCCAGGCAAGGTTTCCTCACTAACATCTCGGGCTCTAAGGCCTGATGAGAGAGGTAGAAGGCTCACTGCCTCCATCCGCAGGTTCACTGCAGTCTCAAGGGCACGGCCCCGGCGTGTGCATGATGTTCCAGGTGTGTTCTCACACCAGCCCAGAGCACAGAGCTCCCAGCCCCTCGCTTTACAGACCAGTGGAGCCTCCCCCAATAGGACGGTTCTCCATTCTTGGCACTTTCATTCCCCGTCTGAATAACAGAACGATCCTCAAATTTTCACCCAGCTTGCATATTCATTTTAAAAGACCCAACAAGCCTCCCCAGGGAGCCTGGGTCACCGTTTTTCTCCCCTGCAAAGTGGCTCCTTCCCAGCATTCCCACCTCCCCCAGAGCCTGCCTGCCTCCTAACACACTGAGCACCTCTGAGGGATGTGAGAGCCGGTGTCCATTCCACTTCTGAATAAGGAAGGAAAGCTCTTAGTCTCGTGGGGAGGGTGCCAGCACGGGCTCCCGTGTGGACTGAGGGGCTACCTCATTCCCGAGAGGCCAGTGGGGGACAAAGAGGGATGCAAGGATGCCACAGTCAGCTGGTTCTGAGTCAAACAGAGATGCTTTCCCTGCTCCGATCAACACCCACTGTGTGCAGGGCCCGCACCGAAGGGAGGGTTTGCTGCAGAGGCTGCTCTTGGGAAATGCACCGGTTCCAGAAGAGATACAATAACCCAAATCACCATGACACTACAGCGAAGGGGCTCCATGCGGGGCCTGTGAGGGTGGAGGCAGGAGCAGAAGACATTTGAACTGACAGCTCTGACAGGTGGGAAATGGGAGAGGGCAGGATTCCCTGGGGTAGGACCAGGGCAAGCCAAGGCGGCGGGGCTGGGAGAATGCTCCCTGCCTGCTTTCCTGGTGAAGCATTGCACATGTGCCATTTTGACCATTTTGAATGTATAGTTCAGTGGTATCTACACTAATAAAAGAGAAAAATGGTAATTGGCGTACGACCGCTACCCTTCCCATTGGCTAATCAGCGTATCCTTATGCAAATTAACTGTCAGCCAAGATGGCGGCCGGCAGCCAGGCAGTTGGAAGCGAACATGAGGCTTGCTTGCTCCTGTGACTGCAGACTGCAACGTCCCCCGCCTGACTTGCCGGCCTCTGAGCTGGCAGTTTGAAACATTCTAACAAATATAGCCGGCTGGGATCTCAGAGCTGAAGTTATACATTGTTTTGATTATAGAACGGCAAACAAACCAGCAGTGGAAGCCTCAGAGCTAGAGCCAGAGCTAAAGCTGGCCCAGAAGAAAAAAAGAAAAGAAAAAAAGGAGTGGTTGGGAGCTTCCCGCCAGCCTGAAAGCAGTCAAAACCGCCAGCCTGAAAGCAGCCCTCAGCCCCTCACCCAGACTGGCCAGGCACCCCAGTGGGGACCCCCACCCTGATCCAGGACACCCTTCAGGGCAAACCAGCCGGCCCCCAGGCCTCTATCCTATATAGTAAAAGGGTAATATGCCTCCCAGCACCGGGATCAACGGAGCCGCAAGCCTCCTGGCACCAGATCAGCATGACAGGGTGCAGCGCCCAAACCCCCTGATCGCTCTGCGGCTCTGTGTATGACAGGGTGTGGCGTCCCAACACCCTGATCAGCCCTGCTCTGTGTGTGACAGGGGGTGGCGCCCCAACCCCCCCCCCCCACCACGGGCCCTGCTCTGTGTGTGACGGGGTAGAGCCATAACCTCCCCATCGGCCCTGCCCTGAGTGTGACAGTGGCATCGCCCCAACCCCCTGATCGGCCCTGCTCTGTGGGTGATAGAGGGCGGCGCCCCAACCCCCTGATCCGCCCTGCTGTGTGTGTGACAGGGGGTGGTGCCCTAACTCCCCTATCGGCCCTACTCTGTGAGTGACAGAGGGGAGCTCCCCAACCCCCTGATGGGCCCTGCTCTGTACGTGACGGGGGGGCACTGCCCCAACCCCCTGATTGGCCCTGCTCTGTGTGTGACAGGGGGCAGCGCCCCAACCCCCTGATTGGCCCTGCTCTGTGCATCACAGGGGGTGGCGCCGCAACCTCCCCATTGACCCTGCCTTGAGTGTGATAGGGGGTGGTGCCCCAACCCCCCAATCAGCCCTATCCTGAGCATGACTGAGGGTGGCATCGCAACCTCCCAATCCGCCCTGCTCTGTGCATGACAGGGGGCGGCGCCCCAACTCCCCAATCAGCTCTGCTCTGAGCCCCACCAGGGGCTGCACCTAGGGATTGGGCCTGCCCTCTGCCACCCAGGAGCAGGCCTAAGCCAGCAGGTCATTATCTCCTGAGGGGTCCCAGACTGCGAGAGGGCACAGGCCGGGCTGAGGGACCCCCCTTCCCCCCCGAGTGCACAAATTTTTGTGCACCAGGCCTCTAGTTAAGTATATTCAACCATCACCACCACATCCATCTCCAGGACTTGTTCACCTTCCCAAACTGAAGCTCTGTACCGTTAAACAATGGCTCCCCATTCCTCCCTCTCCCAGCCCTTGGTCTCTGTACATTTGATACTTTAGGTACCTCATATAAGGGGAATCTTGTGATATTTGTCCTTCTGTGCCTGGCTTATTTCACTTAGCATAATGTTTTAAGGTTCTTCCATGTTGTAGTATGTGTCAGAATTTCATTTCTTTTTAAGGCCAAATAATATCCCATTGTATATTTATTCACTGTCCACTTTTGTTGGAATACTGGGTCCAAGGAGGTGAGAGAGTGGAGGTGAGGTTGGACACAAAAGGGGTGAGGGTCGTGAGAGTGAGTTGTTTAAACATTCTCCAAATCAGAGTTCCAATGGCAGAGAGATACGTGGAATCATACGTGTCTTAAAGAGCAACTGACAAAACACACGAGTGATGACGCCCTTCCAAGCAAGAGCACTGCTTTTAGGCCAGCTCTTGGGGTGACAGCCGTCCTAGCCCGAGTACAGGCCCTGATACAACAGAAGCCAGCTGAGGCTGTGCTGGGGTTGTCAGTGTGGACCTTAAATAACGTTAGGGTAGTACTTCCCAAACTTCATTTAGTCACAAGTTTGCCATTGCTTGAGTACCAACTAGGTTATTATTTACCATATTTATTTATTCATTTTTTAGAGAAAATAATATTTAAAAAGTAAGCCATCATCTAAACAGTTGATAAACATAAAAAGAATGAAGGAGGAGTAAATCGACCAGGCAGGTAGCACTGCCCCCTGGGAGGCCGGCCCAAGGCGTGCTTTCCCTTGGCTGAGCAGGAGATGAGCAGATGCTGGACAGCTGTCAGGGATGCAAGCCCCAGAAAGACAGTTTGTCACTTTCTCCTTTTAGAGAGAATGAAAAGGAAAAAAACCTTCTTACAACATGGTTCTCAGGCCACCTAAAATCCTGTCTCCTCTGAGCACATGTCCCATACTTTGGCAAAGCACACGTTATTGTGAGTAAATTTGTTAGTTTTGGGGATGATGCTTCTTTTTCCATGCGGAGTGGGGGTGGGGGGATGGGGGGGGGAAGAAGAGGAAACGAGAAGAGCTATAGAAGGTAGAACCTGGCCCTGGGCCGTGTAGCTCAGTTAATTGGAATATCATCCTGTACAACAAAAGTTGGGTTCAACATTCTAGTCAAGGTACTTAGCCAGGTTGCAGATTTAATCCCTGGTCAGGCCAATGCAGGAGGCAACTGATCGATGCTTCTATCTCACATCGATGTTTCTCTCTCTCTGTGTCTCTCTCTTTCTCTCATCCCCCCCTTCCTCTCTCTAAAATAATTTTTTTTAAAAGGTAGAAAGAATCTGGTCAGCTGAAGGTGAAGACCAACTGTAAGGTACTGTAGACAAGCGACATGACCTGCTCTGTAAGGTCACTGTCATCTGTATCACTCCCGCCCTGGTTTCTAAGGAGTGCACTTGCCTCCTGTCTTTGGAGAATTTCGAGCGCTCAGGACACCGGGAACACAGCTGATAGGCACTGACCCAGGAAAACCCCTTTCTTCTTCATCCTATTTCAGAAGCTGGACCAGCAGCCACTACTGGGTAAACTACAGTTTACAAAGCACTTTGCATGCGAATCACCATTTGGTCTTGAGCACCACAAAGCAATTCACAGATGCATTTCTGTGGGCCCCTTATTCTCTCCCAGAGCCTGGTTGCAAACAGATATTCAATGAATCTGGATGGGATAAATGAATGACAGCCGACAGCCAGATTTGCCCCCAATTCCAGTTAATTTCCGAAAAGTCCCCGACAGCCATGTTACAGTTTAGTATTAGGCAATATTCAGAAGAGATGGATATTCTACATAAATACCAAGCTAAAAGGAAAACACGTGCCAGGGAACAGATTAGCTATTAAATCAGAGGGCCTCGTGAGTACACCTCTCACACAGGATTTATTGTTCCCAAAGCATCTGTGCCTTACAAAGCTGGGTTAGTAATGGCATGCAGTTAGGGCAGGTGATGTTATAATGGTAATCATTAAAACAAGCTTCCTCCGTTTTACATGGTGAATTCAAATTTTCATTAAGGCTCCAACAATAGGGAACAGTTAAGTAAATTATGGCATGCTAACTGGATGGAATATTAAGCAGCCATTAAGATGATAAATCTGAAGATTATGTAGCTACATGGAAAAGCACGCATGAAATTATGCTAAGTTAAAAAGTAAAATACAAGATTGTTTATGTGTTGAGAGCAAACCGCATAATATGGGCTTTCTAAACAAGTCCTGGACAATGTGAGCATGCCCAACGGGAATTCTACTCTTTGCTTAGGAATTGCTGAATACCGGCATCCCATAATACCTAAACTCTGATGGCAGCGGTGCTGTAAGTAC